AAGATAGACAAGAGCACAATATAACTGCAAAATTCAAAAGGCAACAACCACAAACAATGCTTCTGAAGAGTATCTTAATATAGATAATACAGTCACCAAAGGACAATTCATTTTAGCCAAGAAATTATTGAAACTACAAACTTGTTAACAGGTTAATGAATGAAGGGGGCAAGTTTCTAAATAAAGTGTGGTATTGCATATAGAGTTTCACAGTTGATGTTTCCAGTGTTAGCCCTTGGTTAGAGCAAACGGAGGAATTGTGGGTTACGTGCAGAAAATATGCAGAAAGTGGAACTATGCTATTGGTGGGAACATGGTAAGGAGAAAAACAAGAATAAATTAGTTGGATGAAAAGCATTAGTTGATACTGTGGGGATTAAGAGCGCCAATTTGAAAGATAAGTTTTTGTTCTAAAATTTTTTAGGCTACCTGTGTTGAATTAATCCATGATCTTTTTTGAAACAAGAAGAAAGGCCTTGACACATATGTACACCATGCCTAGGGTGCTTACAAATTTCTGACATGTACACAACTTACAGCAAATGATATATCCTTGAGTGTTGCTTTGACAATTGCTGTTCCAGTGTTGATAGGTTCAATAACAATGGAACCTCCATGTGAACCCTGGACAGCGATACAACAAACAACATAAAAATTATAACAACCAGGAAGGTAATCAGAAATTAGAATCAGAATTAGAAGGATAACTATTAAAACTAATCCTCAAGCTCAGGTAAGAGAATATAAAAGTAACATTCAAATACATGTTAATCTTCAAGCAAGGTAGACTTTCTTCCTCTCATTAATTCATATGTTATTTTTCTGTATGTAACAATGAAAGAAGGCTTTCATTCACATGTAAATTACCAGTAGCTGTCTAAAATCAAAATTGTTTACCCTGTTTTGATTTGGTCATGTACAATTTTGTATCCATCTACTCTGCTTTATTATCTTGTTTTTTGATGGGATTTTTTTCAAATCAATTTAAATAATAGCTTCCTTTGTTGCATACTGATGTTAATAACACACAGAAAACTCAAATCAAATTGGTCCAAAAAATTTGGACCATAACTTACTAAAAGAAAACACTGGAAAGCAAGAATATTTTGTTAAATTACCTTTGCTTCCAAAAAATATATCTCTGGTGAAGTTTCATAACTTGAGTACTCAAACTGTATAAATCTACCAGGCAAGCAAACAGAATGTCAGGGAAAACCAAAATCAGTAATTCTACTGTAACACCATGCAGTTCATAAGTCAGGGGTTTCAAAATTTTTGAAGTAGGCAGCCGACTCTGGAAAAGTAGGCGGCTGTGATAACGCCAAGATTGTTTCTCACGAGCAGTCTGTCACGACCAGAGTAGCCAGCGACATACAATCAAGTAGCCAGCAGAACTCCAGTGGTCACCGGCTTGTTTTGAGACCACTGTAAGTGACAGCCCCCTTAAAAGTCAGACTCAATCTTTAATTTCCAACTTCACCATAGGCAAAACTGGAACAAGAAAAAATCTGACAAAGTAATTGAAAAAATGAAAGAACATGTAATAATGAATGGAAACTTACCTTAGCACAGATTTTGCATTGACTGAACCAACTCCCTCGACTGTCTTCCGTTCCCATTCAAATTCAAGACCATCCAGAGTGGAAAACATATTTCCTGGAATAAAACATTTTTAAAAAAATTACCATAAAATTTCACTGCAACACAAATAATTCAAAGAGAGATAAGTTTCTAAAGAAACTGTGGTGCTGCATTGGTGGGGGGAGTTGGGTTTATCAACCAAGTTGATCAATAAATAGATATTGGTGGCTATAAAGAGTTCAAATGCTGACATTTCGAGCATTAGTCCTTCATTCGAGTGTTATCTCATAATCCATTGTAGAGTTCCATGTCCAGTGTTTGTCAAAATCACCCTCTGACAAGCAAAAATCATAAAATTATCACCAGAAATGAAATATTTGTTACTGATAAAAAAAATGCCAGAAGGACACTTGTTGAAAAATTACATGATGCACTTTACTTCTGGCCACAATTTATATCTGCAAAATAAGCAGT